TGTGTTGTCTTACAATTGCAAGCTACATTGATTGGTGTGGTGAATTTGCATATGAATTTCTTACTGAAACAATAATTTCCTCATGACATCTTATTGCCCAGGTCACAATTTTACTTCTAGCTTGTTCAGAACTGCTGGATTTCACCTGGACCCCACACACTGGAAAAGCCATCAAGGTGAATGACCCAATTAACCTACTTTTTGAAAGTATTCAAATGTATGAGAACACCAAAGAACTGATGCTTTCAAAATGTGGTGCTGGAGAAGACTCTTGAGAGTCCCTTAGACAGCAAGGAGATCAAACCAGCCAATCCTTAAGGAAATCAACCCTGAATACTCATTGGAAGGGCTGAAGCTGAAGCTCCAATACTTTGGTCATGTGATGAGAAGAGCCGCCTCATTGGAAAAGACCCTGATGCTGGGAAAGATTGAGGGTAAAAGAAGAAGGGGACGACAGAGGATGAGATGGTTGGATGGTATCATCAACTCAATGGACATGAATTTGAGCAAACTCCGGGAGACAGTGAAGGACACGGCGCGCTGCAGTTCATGGGGTCACAAAGAGTCAAACATGACTTAGTGACTGAATACCAACATATAAAAAAATAAAAAAGGATGGAAATTCTGATACAGGCTACAACATGGATGATTCTTGAATACATTGTGCTAACTGGAAATAAGTCAGGCACAAAAGGAGAAATACTGCACAGTTCCACTTACATGAGGTTACTGGAGGAGTAATGTTCAATGATATGGAAAGTCGAAGAGTGGGGCTGGTTAGGGTTTAATGGGTGTAGAGTCTCAGTTTGGGGAGATGAAAATATCTGGAAATGGATGATGGTGATTGTTGTACAACAATATGAATGTACTTAATACCATTAAACTGTACACTTAAAATGGCAAATTTTATGTCATGTATATTTTATAATAATACAAAAAAATTTTAAGGAAACAAGTTCTTTATGAAGAATAAAAGGAATTTATTATATTCCTTATGAAGAATAAGAAAAGAAACATAAAATTACCTATCTGGAGCTTTATTATTTTTTGTATGAGAGGATAAATATAATAAAGACATTCAGTTCAGTTAAGTCACTCAGTCATATCCGATTCTTTGCGACCCCATGGACTGCAGTAGGCCAGGCCTTCCTGTCCATCACCAACTCCTGGAGTTTACTCAAACTAATGTCCAATGAGTCAGTGATGCCATCCAACCATCTCATCCTCTGTCGTCCCCTTCTTCTCCCACCTTCAATTTTTCCCAGCATCAGGGTCTTTTCAAATGAGTCAGTTCTTCACATCAGGTGGCCAAAGTATTGGAGTTTCAGCTTCAGCATTAGTCCTTCCGACGAATATTCAGGACTGATTTCCTTTAGGATGGACTGGTTGAATCTCCTTGCAGTCCAAGGGACTCTCAAGAGTCTTCTCCAACTCCACAATTCAAAAGCATTAATTTTTCAGGGCTCAGCTTTCTTTATAGTCCAACTCTCACATTCATACATGACTACTGGAAAAACAGTAGCCTTTACTAGAAGGACCTTTGTTGGCAAAGTAATGTCTCTGCTTTTTAAAATGTTGTCTAGGTTTGTCATAGCCTTTCTTCCAAGGAATAGGTGTCTTTTAATTTCATGACTGCAGTCACCATCTGCAGTGATTTTGGAGCCCCCAGAAATAAAGTCTGCCACTGTTTCCACTGTTTCCCCATCTATTTGCCACAGAGTGATGGAACCAGATGCCATGATCTTAGTTTTCTGAATGTTGAGCTTTAAGCCAATATTTTCACTCTCCTCTTTCACTTTCATCAAGAGGCTCTTTAGTTTTTCTTTGCTTTCTGCCATAAGGGTGGTGTCATCTGCATGTCTGAGGTTATTGATATCTCTCCCAGCAATCTTGATTCCAGCTTGTGCTTCATCCAGCCCAGCATTTCTCATAATGTACTCTGCATAGAAGTTAAATAAGCAGGGTGACAATATACAGCCTTGACATACTCCTTTCCCGATTTGGAAGCAGTCTGTTTTTCCATGTCCAGTTCTAACTGTTGCTTCCTGCCTGCATATAGGTTTCTCAAGAGGCAGGTCAGGTGGTCTGGTATTCCCATCTCTTTAAGAATTTTTCACAGTTTGTGGTGATCCACAAGTCAAAGACTTTGGCATAGTGAATAAAGCAGAACTAGATGTTTTTCTGGAACTCTGTTACTTTTTCGATGATCCAACAGATGTTGGCAATTTGATCTCGGGTTCCTCTGCCTTTTCTAAAACCAGCTTGAACATCTGTAAGTTCATGGTTTACTTTTTGTTGAAGCCTGGTGTGCAAGATGGGTGCAATTGTGGGAAAATTTGAGCATTCTTTGGCATTGCATTTCTTTGGGATTGGAAAGAAAACTGACCTTTTCCAGTCCTATGGCCACTGCTGCTTTTTCCAAATTTGTTGGCATATTGAGTGCAACACTTTCACAGCATCATCCTTTGGGATTTGAAATAGCTCAACTGGAATTCCATCACCTCCACTAGCTTAGTTTGTAGTGATGCTTCCTAAAGCCCACTTGACTTTACATTCCAGAATGTCTGGTTCTAGGTGAGTGATCACACCATTGTGATTATCTGGGTCATGAAGATCTTTTTTGTACAGTTCTGTATATTCTTGCCACCTCTTAATATCTTCTGCTTCTGTTAGATCCACACCATTTCTGTCCTTTATTGAACCCATTTTTGCATGAAATGGTCCCTTGGTACCTCTAATTTTCTTGAAGAGATCTCTAGTCATTCCCATTCTATTGTTTTCCTCTATTTCTTTGCATTGATCACTGAGGAAGGCTTTCTTATCTCTCCTTGATATTCTTTGGAACTCTGCATTCAAATGGGTATATCTTTCCTTTTCTCCTTTGCTTTTCGCTTCTCTTCTTTTCACAGCTATTTGTAAGTCCTCCTCAGACAGCCATTTTGCTTTTTTGCATTTCTTTTTCTTGGGGATGGTCTTGATCCCTGTCTCCTGTACAAAGTCACGAACCTCTGTCCACAGATCATCAGACACTCTATCAGATCTATTCCCTTAAATCTATTTCTCACTTTCACTGTATAATCGTAAGGGATTTTATTTGCGTCATACTTGAATGATCTAGTGGTTTTCCCTACTTTCTTCAATTTAATTAAGACTTCAATGAACTCTTCAATAAAGAGTTCATGATCTGAGCCACAGTCAGCTCCCAGTCTTGTTTTTGCTGACTGTATAGAGCTTCTCCATCTTTGGCTACAAAGAATATAATCAGTCTGATTTCGGTGTTTACCATCTGGTGATGTCCATGTGTACACAAAGTTTTGTTTGTGCCCTCCAAGAGTCTGTTTCCCAGTCCTGTGTAAGGTCTGGCAGCTCTATGGTGGGGTTAATGGTGACCTCCTCCAAGAGGGTTTATGCCATACCCAAGTCTGCTGCACCCAGAACCTCTGCCCCTGTGGCAGCCTACTGCTGACCCAAACCTCCACAGAAGATGCTCAAACAGTTCTGTCTCAGTCTCTGTGGGTTCCCTGGGTCCTGGTGCACACAAGATTTGTTTGAGCCCTCTGAGCATCTCTGGTGGGAATGGGGTTTGAGTCTAAAACACAAATTTGCCCCTCCTACCAATTTGTTTCAAATTAATCTATAGAGTTAGATGCTATTCTATGAGTACATTTTTCAGTCATTTTTAAGCTGCTAAGAGTCATTTGAGAGGATAAACAGAAATGCCTAAGAATATGTAGTACTTGCCTGTTATGCATTATACTAAAGTATACCACAGGATTAACGCAATGTAGTAATGATACAAAATAAACACTGAACACAATCCTGGTTTTGTCCAGGGTTTTGGCAAACAGTTCATACCCTGTTTGGAGAAACCCAGCCTGCAGTGTTCCAGGCTTGACTCTGGGGAGGCTAAAGACACAGGAACTGTCACAAGGCCCTGCGGTGCCGAGGGCGTAGGGACACCACGTAGGTCCCCTGGGGGGACCACATATCTGCACGTGATTCTACCTGTGCTGTGATGACAGGCCAGGGGAGGTGATGGGGAAGGGGAGCAGGACCAGAAAGAAGGCAGGGAGAACTGCAGCCTGGAACCTTCCTTTGGGGGAAGGCGTGGGCTGGAGGTGGGCAGTGTGTGGTGACAGCGGGCCCAAGAGCCACATGAGTGAGGTCATAGGTGGAGGTGGCCCACAAAGTTTAAGCAGAGAAGAAAACAGTTTAAAGATGAGTTGAGAGCGGTAAGCAAGAGGAGGGGCAGTTATGGATGATCAGACTCAAAGACCTTCCTTCCTGCTCAGCGCCACCAGACACTTCCCCCTAGTGTCGTCACCATGGGAACATCAAAATTCATCAAAATTTCTTGCTGTAACAGAAGGGGGTGGGGTTCATCCTCAGAAGAGCATCGGCCCCCTGGGAACCCATGAAACCATGTGAGTGTAGCCAGGCTTCTGGGACCAGTATGTGGGGCCAAAGTCCCCTCTCCTTGCAGGAGACTCTGCCTGTGAAACACACTGCTGGGGTTTGCAGAGATGTCATCACCAGGGTTTGTGTGTGACAAACCCTTAGAGCTGAAGCAGATATCTCTTCCTGGCAGTCCTGATGATGAGTGTGGGCAGAGTTGGGGTGGTCCTCCATAAGACCCTCTATCCTCGCTATGGACTTCCTTCCCCGACTCACCATTACGGGGCACACACAGTTCTTCCACATGGCATGGAACTTCTCTAAACCAGACGCACATGGCCATTGAAACCATTACAGGCAGAAGGTTGACATTTCAGGGTACTATAAGAAATTTTTATTTCCTTGGTAGCCTAAAGGATCCTTTAGAAAGGGGTGCCTGCAGGTTTTCACTGGCCATGTCATCCAAATACAACAAAGCAGGCAGGCTCTTGAAATGCTTTTTACTCTACAGCTGAATTCACCTGGCACTTTACCTCATCATGTAACTTACCACGAGCAGTCCTTTCCTAATGAGAGGGAGAGCCCCTTCCTTTCCTTATAATGGACAAAACAGGAGGACATTTCAGGGGAGGGGTTGCAAGGATCCCACACCTCTCTGTTTCTTCTTCTTTGCTTTCTTCTTCTTCTTCCCCTTGTCTCGGTTAATGCAATTTTCAAAACACAGTGAACAGCCCCTGGGGCCCATGTGCACCTCCCTCAGTGCCAGTCAGGAGTTTCTTGCTCCGCTGAGAGCTGCGGCGGTCAGGATAGTCTACAGTCTGCTGCAAAAAAAAAAAAAATGAACCTCATCTACAAGACACAGCTATGTGTCCTGCTCGTTCCAAGAGGCACCGAGAGCCCGAGGAGGACTCTGCCCCGCGCTGTGCTCACCCCGGGTCCCGGACAGAGAGGCCTCAGGCACCACCCCCTGAAGTGTCGACAGGAGACACACAGTCCCATGACTATGCCTGATGCACAAGAAGGGGCAGCATGACGCCCTCTGGTTCTCGTGGGAAGACGCAGGAGCATTCCGAGGGCAGCCCTAATGGCTAGCACTATGCCCACCTAAATGTCCCTGGTGGTATCCACAGCCTCGCAGGCAGCACGAGGCAGGGCAGGGCCTCAAAGCCACTTTGCCCTGATCATCGATCCCCTATCCCCAGTCAACATTGACATCAAACCCTCATGCTTGGGGTCTGATGCTATTCAGGATTCTAAAAATTCCTTAAAGTAGAAAGAAAAGCATGCTACCCCATCTGTGTGATGATCAAGGACAGCATGGACAGAGCACCCAGATGACCACTCACACTTTCCCTCCAACTCAGCCAAGCTCATCAGGAGGACCACAGGGCCGCCTGTCCAAGTACCACCTGGCGATGAGCTGGGGGGCCAGTCTTTTGCTGCATTGCAGCTCTGGCCTGAATCCTTGTTTATCCAGAAAGAGAACAAGTGTCCCACCACCTGTGATTCATTTTCATTTTTTACCTTATTTTCCTTCTGGGCCTTCAGTCTGCTCATTACCTTTTCTTTCGCCTCCACTTCCCTGTTATGCATTTTAATTTTTCTGGGTGATTTTCTAAATTGCACAAAGCAATTTTGCTTTTTGTTCCTGCAGCTTCTATAAAGCATTTCTCTCTTTTAATTATTCAAGCACATTCCTCCATAAATTCCAGTTTCTGAGTTTCTGGATGTTTCAGGCCTGTCATAACAGGTCTGCACTAGATACATGATTGGGTGGTGGAGATATTAATCAAGGAGAAGAGCCTTCAGCCCTCAGCGAGCCTTTGGCCTTGATGGAAGGTGGGTGCTGGCTAAGCAAATGGAAATCAGAGATAAGATGGGCGCTGGCGAGCAGATGGGGAACACAACCCATGCAGAAGGTGGGGGAAGGATGGGTGCCATGCAGCGGTGGCGGACGCTGCCCACTCACCCTTGGTCTTCCTGCTTCAGTGCCTCCTGCGCCTCCCAGGTGCCAGCCTCTGCTACACTTTGCCTCTGCTGGTGTCCAGGAGATTACCAGGAGACTAACACCCCAGAGGCACCCCTCAGCACCATCTCCCAGAAATTCCTCAGTCCACACTCTCTTCTCTTCCCTGACGCCTCCCCCCCTACCAAAATGTTTCCTGGGATTGTTCAGTTGCTAAGTCGTGTCTGACTCTCCATGACCCCATGGACTGCAGCATACCAGGTCCCCCTGTCCTTCACTGGCTTCTGGGGTTTACTCAAACTCATGTTTATTGAGTCTGTGATGCCTTCCAACCATCTCATCCTGTCACCCCCTTCTCCTCCTGACCTCAATCTTTCCTGAGGTTGATCCCCACCCCTAGAAACCACTTCCAGTTACTCATCTGTTTCTTGGTAGCCCAACCTGGATGGTCGCCTTCATGGAAAAAGGAAAACTGCTGAATCACCAAAGGTGGGGGGACATCAGTGAGGCAGCTTAAGGGGAAGGGAGTTCCCAGCAGAAGGAGGGTCTGGGCCCAGACACATTCATGGGAGGGTCTATCACCCTGGAGCTGCAAAGGCAACCACCCACTGAGCTGCAACTCAAAAGCAGCTTAGCTACGGCCCATGTGTGTGTGTGTGCTCAGTCGCTTCAGTCCTGTCTGACTCTTTGCGACCCTATGAACTGTAGCCTACCAAGCTCCTCTGTCCATGGGCTTCTCCCATGGACATGCAAGAATACTAGAGCAATACAAGCTCTACAAGCAATACAAGCAAGAATACTAGAGTGGGTTGCCATGCCCTCCTCTGGGGGATCTTCCTGACCCAGGGATTGAACCCGTGTCTCTTATGTCTTCTGCAGTGGCAGGAGGGTTCTTTACCACCCTGTGGGAAGCCCAGAATCTGTCAAACACCCAAAGGAGTTGGAGACTGCAGACAGCTCCCTTCAGAGCACGAGCATGGGCTTGGATTCAGAAAAATGAAATTTACCCAGTCGTGTCTGACTCTCTGCGACCTCATGGACTATATAGTCCATGGACTTCTCCAGGCCAGAATACTGGAGTGCGTAGCCTTTCCCTTCTCCAGGGCATCTTCCCAACCCAGGGATCGAACCCATGTCACCCACATTGCAGGCGGATTCTTTACCAACTGAGCCACAAGGGAAGCCCCTTGGATCCAGAACCTGTGGGCTAAAAATACCGGTTCTGCCTTTCACAAGCTGTGTGACCCTGAGATACTCTTCTAACCTCTCTGTGCCTCAGTTTCCTCATCCGTAAGGTGGGAAGAGAGTCCCACTACCTACTGAATGGCTATTGTGAGGCTAAAGGGAATTGCTGGGCATCGTGATCACCATTGGCAGGTGGTGGTAGTAAGAGTAGCAGCTATTTTCTGTTTGTGATTATTTCAGTGGCCTCTGAGATTCAAATTGCATAGGGAAGGAGACAATGCCTGCTCTCCAGGAGCCCATGGCCAGATGAGGCAGAAATACATGTACAAGTAGAAGTGACCCACGAGGAGGATGGGGAACGCCCTAGTGACTCCGAAGGGCTGGAGGGTTAGAGAGAGGACGCACGTCTTTGGCTGGTGGACCATGTGGACCCAAACTTGAAAGACAACTTACTCACCATGGCCTGCTCCCATGAGGTCCCTGGACCCCTGGTCAGTCCTGGGAGGTTACCCTGCAGTGGTTGCCCTGGGGATGTCGACGTGGGCCGCAAAGCAGGACGATGGGGGCCTGCTGCCCCCTACTGGTATTTGCTCTGCTCAGTACCATCCACCCACCTCTCCAGATCCTGGTGGCTCAGTGAGCGCGGAACCCAGGAAGTGGGTCTCCAGAAGCCAAGGCAGCAATCTTGGGAGGTCGGGGCGGCCGAGGGGGTTGTGGGTAATCAGCTTGCAAAGCTCTCCCCCAGGTTGGACCCTCAGTCACCCCAGAGACACCCTTAGAGTGTTCCGCACGTGGTGAGGCTGGAATAAGAAGCAGGAGGGTAAGGACAAATCATAGGCGGGTGAAGGCCCCCCTCTAGCGGTCACTGTGGTCCAGTGGCGGATGCGATCTGAACCTCAGACTGCCAGCTGACTCGGTGGGACTCAAAGGGAAGGTGGCCAAGAACCTGAGCATGCGCTGAGGTGCTGCCCCAGAGGGAGGGTCCTCTTTCTGGCGTCTCAGCAGATCATCCTCGTCACTGTGGGTGGGGTCGCCTCACCCCTCCCGCGTACCCCCAGAGACCCTCCCTCTCTCTGAGCCCTGAAGGGCCCCCTCCCTGGCCGCCCTCCGTGAAGCCCTGAGTGCCCCCAGGCTCCCTCCACACCGCGGTTCCTGTAACCAATGCCTTGGTAAATACACAACTCCTAAACCACTCCCTGGAGAAGGTTGAAACGAGCTAAGGATGAGGGACAAGTCCCACCAGCTGCCAAACCCATGATGGTCTCCTTGGAGCGGGTGGTGGGGCTGGAGGGGGGCGAGGCTGTGACAGTAGAGAAGGTTCAGGGCAGGGGGCGAGAAGGGGAGGGTCCCTGGCTTCTGCCTTACCCCATCCTGCACCTCCCTCTTCCAGGGGATGGGGACGGGCTTGCTGTTTCCCATCTCTGTTCTTCTGTGTCCTCCTGGGTTTTTTGCCACAAGACTCACACTCACAGTCACACTTCCCCGGGATGTGGCTGCTTTCGAGAGCACAGGGTTCATGGCCCAGGGTCAGTTGGGAGCAGAGCAGGAAGCCAGGTGAAGAACTTGGTAATTAATGAATCACAAAATTGAGGGTTGCAGGGACTTTCCTAGACCATGCCCTTTAATCTCTCTAGTTTCTAGAGAAGGAAGCTGGGGCCCTGGGAAGAGAAGTTGCCACCTCGGAGGGGCCCATTTAGGAGCTGTGACTCCCCAGACTTGCTGGGGTCAGGCAGAGAGGAGGGTGGGGAGGAAAACAACCTGCTAATATTAATAGACGTTCGGCCTCTGTGAGGTCATAGTTTCTTGGAAACAGGCATGCACTGACAAAACTATTCTAGGGAAAGGCATTTCTCCAGGATGCAGTGGGGGTGATAGGATTAATGGACAGTTGCCTCCCTGGCTGAAATACACATCCATGCCCTCTGCGCAGAGTAAGCCCCTCCCTCTAGACAATGTAGACATAAGCCCCACGCCACTGCCTTTGGGCCAACTGGATGTGAGTGGCTGAGACAGGTGCATGTGTGATGTGACTGGTCCTCCTGCTTGACTCAAAGCCCCAGTGAGAAGAGGCTGAACCCAACAGCTCCTGCCCCTTGTCATGAAGACACGAGCCCCACAGGCCGCGAATGCAAGAACCTGTGAGGAAGCATGTGGCTGTAAACCCCTGACTGTGAGGTTATGTACATGCTAAGTCGCTTCAGTCCTGTCTGGTGTTTTGTGACCCCGTGAACTGTAGCCCACCAGGCTCCTCTGTCCATAGGATTCTCTAGGCAAGAATACCGGAGTGGGTTCTTGTGCCCTCCTCCAGGGGATCTTCCCAACCCAGGGGTCGAACCGATGTCTCCTGCATTGTAGGCAGATTCTTTACCACTGAGCCATGGGAGAAGCCCTAAGGTGTGAGGCTTTTGCTGTGCAAAACACTAATACATGATTCAGCCCACATTCTACATTGTGTCATCTATGGGCTTCTCTTTCCCTGGCCCCCATAACAACTCACACTCTGCGATAAGTAATCAGGATGGTTACATTAAAGGCTGGAAACAGAGCTTTAAATGCTTCCTGACTGATGCACTTATCTTCTTGGATCCTGGATAAAGTGATCCTAACGGTGTGTGCAAAGCGCAGCAAGTGAGTCCTGACTGCCAGGGACTACTCCCTCCAAAACAGGGCAAGCCCCAGCATTGCTTTGTGACAGCACATTGGCCAGGTAAGGAGGGGGACCCCAGCTCTCACGCTGAAACCCTGCCTTAAACCTAAAACTAAATACCGAGAAATAAAGGCCAAGGGCAGGCAGTCACTGAGTGTTTTTTTTTTCAATATTTAATTTATTTGGCTGCGCTGAGTCTTAGTTGCAGGATGTGGGATCTTTAGTCGTGGCATGTGGGATCTAGTCCCCTGACCAGAGATCGAACCTGGGCCCCCTGCATTGGGAGGGCAGAGTCTTAGCCACTGGACCACCAGGGGAGTCCAAATGAGTATTTTTTTATGTAAGAAAACACAGACTTGAAGAAGGTAGAATCCGTTTTCAGGTGCGTAGCCTGGTGCAGGGGAGACACAGGGCTGGTGAGGTTCCCAGCTGGCTCACCCCAACTCTGCTTGACTGTCTCCTTTCCAATCCACTGGGGCTGGAGAGGTTTGACCAGATCGTGTGATGAGCGAGGGTGGACACAGGCTGCACTTAGGCCCCCTGACTTCTGGCTTCCATTTCTTTCCTCGGCACCCTGACTCTGTGCTCAAGGACACCATACCCATCAGGGGAATCCTAATTTCACCCAAATAACAGTGTTTAAAGCAGCAACCAGAGGCTCGGGGTTCAGGACTCTGGATTCCATGTAGGGTGGCAGGTTGCTGTCACCTGCCACCTGAATGGTCCCCAAGGCATCAGGCTTGGGCTTGCCCATACCCTTGGAGCCCCGCCCACCCTGACCCTGGGCTGGGCCACGACCTGCTTCAGCCAATGAGACATCAGGGAACATGTGCTCCTGGGGCTGGAGCCAGGCCTGCCCACTGGAGCTTGTGCTCTGAGGGTGCTTCCTGACTAATGGTCCATCCTCCTTGAGGATGAGAGAATTCATGGAAAGACAGGCCCAGCTGTCGCTGCCAGGCCCACCCTCCACTCTACCCTCCAGCTCAGCGGTCACACTAGTGGACCCAGGGGGTTCAGCAGAGGGACTGCTCCACAACTGCAGATGCAGGAGAAATGCTTCGTGTTGTTTTAGGCCACTAAGCTGTGGGGTGGCTCCGTATGCAGCAACAGGGAACTGGCTGGACACTCAGGCTGTCCTGAACATCTCCCAGAGCAAAGACCCACCCCCCTAACCCACACTGGATCCAAAAAAGGTGAGCCCTCTCAGCCCACAGGGTGTGAGCTTCCTTCTGGTGCCTGTGATGGTCACGCTGCACCTGGCCCTAGTTCTTTCCTTCTGAGGCCAGCCTCTGCCATGGCCCATCAGTTTCCTCCCTCTAGCTTCCAATCTCTTTCCAAAGCATTACTGTATTCAGAACCTATCAAGTGAAACCACAGGAAGTCTGCCTCCCAAAGGACCGAAAAGAGACCCAGGACAGGTACACGCAGAATGGCAATGCTACTCCAGGTGGAGTGCAGCCCAGACTCTCTCTCCAGAGGCCAGGCCAGAGCCCATGGCCTGCGGGGAGCATCAGGGGAAAGGCCACAGAGTTATGTGTCATGTTTTCTACTAACTGAAGGGCAGTTAGGGGCCAGCAAGAGCTCTAAGCGGAGAATCACCATTTGCTTTGCTGCAGTGGGTTGGAGGGAAAAGGACAGGAAGCGTGGAGTCCGGTCGGAGCAGAACAGTAATTCAAAGGAAATTGAGGCATGAGAAACCCAGAGGTTTCCTTATAGCTATGGCAGTGGAGGTGAGGGAGACACGTTAAAGATATTTAAGAGAATTTTGCAGGTTTTCCTTTCTTTTTTTTTTTAACTGACTGTAGATGGATGAAGAAAAAAATGGAAATATTAGAGATAGCTAAATAGATAGGCAATAGGAAGAAGGAGAGGAGAAACAGAAGGTAGGAAGGAAAGAAGAAAGAAAGAGAGGAGAGAGAGTAAAAGAGAAAGGCCAGGTACAGGTCTAAGCACTTTACAAATCCTGTCCCATCTAATGCTGCCAACACGCCAAGAGGGAGGAAGCAACACTACTGTGACGATTGGATGATTGTTCAAAAGTATTCAGCACCGCAACCACCCCACTCCCCCACCCCCAGCCAGGGGATGGCCTGTCACTCTCCAGCACTTCACTGTGTGCCGGGCCCCGCCACTTGCTTTACATAATGTAATGTCGGCAGGTGTGCTGTAACTAACGGCTAAACAAGAATGCGTGGATTTAGCACAGTTTCCTCTTTCCCAATGTAAGTAGAGTTCCAACACATACTTTCTTCATTTATTCTTGGTGTTTGACAAACAGAAGCTGGGACACAGCTCTTAGCCCCAGGTGCTCTTGGTAAACCTGGTGATTGTGGAATCTGGCTGCACCCTGTCTTCACCAAGGCCGGTGCCATCTGTCCTCCTAGGGAGGAATCAGGGGGTGCTGTGCCCTCCCTTGCCTGGTTTACAATGGTCCTGAGTCTGCATCTCTAGAGCTGGAATTGAGATGGGATCCCAGGACGCTGATTTCCTGAAAGAGGATTCCCGGGGGAAACTTACAGAGCCTGGAGGGCAGAGAAAGCCATGAACAGAGGTGGGTTTCAGGTGAGCTCCAGCCTCTCAGGGACCCCAGGGTCCCTGGAGCTTAAGTGGCACCACAGCATTGTCTCTCTAGAGACATGGCATCCAGGATCCAGATGGTCACTGACCAAGGGCAAGGGGCCAGTTGCCCAGGCCCTCAGCCAAGGACACCTGTCTGGAGACGAATTTGTAGGGGATAGGGATGAATCAGCCTGGTGGGGTGCTGGGGGGTTGCCCTGCCATAGGGGGTGTCCTGGGCTCCACTCAGAAATGTCACATGTGGGGCTGGGGACCCAGTATCCTGAGCATTGACACAAGGTCCCAGGTAAGGCCTGGGGAGGGAGTGTGGCTACAAGGTGGAACAGCATTCCAAAGGCAAGGAGAATAGCCTCCTGGACTGGCGTTGACATCACAGGTCCCCTGTCCCCTTAACCTGCAGCTGCATCACTGACCACGTGGGCAGGGCCTTCAAAAACCCTGACAGCTTCCCCCGCCTCTGACCGTCTCCTTGAATTCAGAGACTCAGCCTGCCTGATGAGAGTACTTTATTTCCTAAGCATCTCACGGCTTGCTCATTCTAAGAGAGGAAGCCCAGTTTCCGCTAGCCTCCCATGACTGAGCCGAGTTCCCACTCCTCTGGTCCTCATCGTCTGTGTGACCCCCAGCTTTGCTGCCCTGCCCCCCGAAATGGCCCTGTTATCTCTCCTCCTTGGATGAACGAGCATCCAGGAAAGAGAAGTAAAAGGGAAGCAAGGTGAGTTCAGAGAAATGAAACCCAGAACATAAGGTTACTTTTGCCTCGAGACCAAAGAGCGAGATGACAGCAGGGTTGTGATGAGTGTAAAGTCACCATTTCAAACCTCATGGTGTCCAGGATCCAGATGGTCACTGATCAAGGACAGGGGGCCAGGTCCCAGGTCACAGGTCCCAGGTCACAGGCTTCACCTGCACTCCTTCCTCTAGACCCCCATTGCCATGGTTTCTGGAGTGGTCCCCCTGGCAACAGCAACTTGCTGGGATGAAGAGGCAGGTGGGCCAGGAGTCTGACTGATGGGCTCACCTTCTTATGGGATCAATACCTGGCACACTCCCAGGTCCCGGCGAATCTGAAGGCCTGAGTTTTTTACCTTCTGTCTCTGCTTCTACCCCAAGAGCTCTTTTCCTCACTCACCTGAGTTAGGAGGGGCCGAGCCACCCCTGGGGTCCAACTAGGCAGCAGGTAAGTGTCAAGTTCAAGGTTTGGGTTAGAAATTAGAGGAAGCTGGCTATAGCAAGCCCTGAAGTACAGACACTATGTGAAACCCAGCTTTTGTCAGGGACAAATCTCAAGGTTTCTGTAATTTTTCTAAGCCCCTATCTTGCCGGATTTCTGCTGGAGCTAACAGAAGTTGCCAGGATTGCCCAAGCCTCAAATTCATCATGTAGCCAGATGGGAAGGTGGCTAGGAGGTGGGAAGCCAGATGCCATGGAAGTAAAGTGGACAGGCCACATGGAAAAGGCCATGTAAAGTGGCACACCTCCTGGATGGGGGCTCACCCT